CTCAACCACTGAAAATAGCCCACCTCTTCTCTCAACAATCAAACCAACCCGTTGGACATTTAGAGCTGCAGAAATGGAAGAACCCCAATCATTTCATCAAGAACAAAACGTTTCATTTGTTTCCACACAACAAAGAAATACGGTTAGATTTCCATGGAACAGGGAGCTTCTGTATGACCGTATATATGCATGGAAGGTGTCTGAAAGCCATTCATAGCCCCAGTTTTACAAGGATTGCATTGTGTACAAAGTGCCTGAATATAACTGGATATATGTGGATTGATCCCCAAGAAAATGGGATGAATGCATGTAGGACAAATCTTCTTGATGCCCTCCCACTTACTACAAATTCCTCTGATAGTTTACCCCCCAAACTAGCATGGAAGACACTTTGATCTTGCCCAGGATGCTTAACACGTGTGCCGCTTCAAATCTGGAGACAAAAAAGGTGCTTCAGAGTGCAGGTATTGCTTGCCTGTAACTCTGTAAAGCAGCAGCTGCGTTTTTCCTGCCAACTTTCAGCTGCCCTTCACAGCTCCAACACAATCCTAAGGGGGAAAAAAGGCATTTGTTTTGCAGAGTTGCCAACAGGCACTACCTGTGTGCCCCACATGTGCTGAAGCTCCTTTTCCCTTGAAATCCAAAGCACACCCCGGTCCTACTACATTTTACAGTTGTGTGGCTTTCTTGCACCACAATTGTTTGGTTGCATCTAAAAGGTATCCATCGAGCGTGAAGCTGGGAGCCCTCACTCAAGACCTTTTCTCTAAGAGGAATAACAAGGAAAGGTCTTCTTAACAGGGTTTGGGCCCATGGGAATTTGAAGGCTGGGTCCATGAGAATTTCAGCAGCGTTGTGCTACCCATTGATTCCATGGCTCTACACTGGTTATGATTCAGATAGACCAGTGTTTCTCAACCTTGGCAACTTTAAGATGTGTGGACTTCTAGTCCCAGAATTCCCCAGCCAGCCATGGTGGCTGGGGTATTCTGTGCATAGAAGTTCACACATCTTTAAGGTGCCAAGGTTGGGAAAAACTG